GTTTTTATGTTGAGTTTTAGCGTTCTGTGACTATTTAAATGAGTAGAATGACTGAATACTACGTTTTGCTGTTAATACGTACTGTGAGTCGATACAATTGCCATTCAATTGTTTTTACTGTACATATAAAAATGTCTTTACTATCAAAATAAAGGCATGAAAAGGCCCCAAAAATACCTTTAAAAAAAAGCTATCTGATGGCAACAACAGAATCATTTTCTTTTAAGGTATAAGGTCAAAACAGTGGCGCGACCCGTAATCTCTCCACTGTAAACTCTAATAAAGACAGACATTAAAAAAAGCACTTAAAGTCCTTAAAACTGAAGCTCTTCCTCCATCCTCTCTTCTCCTCTCCTACTTGATCCGGATCTCGAAGCAGAGACAGTTGCAGGAGTCACACTCAGGAGGCTGACAGGTGCAGGCACAGTCCCATTTGACACACTGGAGGAGAAACACAACACGTCACTACAATGATGCTTTTACACTTCTGAGCTTTCTGCCAAGGAGCACTGACACTTTACCAACAGACAGAAACAAAGCGTGTGCCAGGAGTATCGCTTTAAAGCCTCGAATTTGGCTGATGGCTGGTTTTTTGAAGCCATTAGGGCTGATTGGCTGCACAGATTCGTACTCTCCAGTGAACTGTCTACCACAGCCGATAGATAACAGATCAAATTAAGTTGAATTTGTTTTATTTTACAGAAAATGTGCCTATTTAGAAGTAAAAAGTCTTACAATTAACATCGTTGTATGTATTTATCAACCACAGCAACACGTCTACTTTTAATTAAACGTCTTCCAGGACAACGTGGATTACTTCCAGGATATTTGGTCATTTTAATACATTTCCAGGTGTTTCCGTGACTGGAAAACTGGTCTCTAAATGTCCAGGTTTTCCAGGATGAGCCGTGTCAATAACACCTAATGTGCTTTGTATTAAGGTGCTAATGGAGGCTGTGTGTTTGGAGGTTACTCACAGAAGGATCGGGACACGAGCTGGAGCGACAGGAGTTGATGGTCGGCAGGCTACAGTCACACACTTCTGCCAGTCTGAAGCACTGCTCACATATGGAAACGTCTGGACAGCAATCCCCACACTCTGAGGAACAACGGTCCTTCGGGAGAGAGAACACAGAACTCAGCACCACTGATATACACAGCAGAATATAAACCAAACTGTTTGTATTTCTGTTGAGTTAAAGGCAACGTTAAGCATTAAGCACAATGATTAAAACATTTCCAGCTACTGTATCGACAAATCCAAGGTTGTGTTATGAGGAATATTTAGATATGAGTCTGTTGATGTGTGTACTGAATAAAACCCCTCACTTTTTAGTGCTTACTCAGAGACATGTTTGTACCATTTTAGGAAAAGTAGAAGAAGTCTCATGTGCCTAAAGACTGAATATAATGTGATAACAAAAACACACTTTTGATTGAAACTCTGAATTTAATTTTATGAGTATTTTATGAGCACAAATAGGTTGAGAAACAATAAATAATATACCTGTATAATGCTGAATGTCACCTGAAGTTAAAAACTATTCTCTTTCTAACGTAATATAATGTATAATATTGTTTTTAAGAGGGAACAGATACAAATACTCAGCAATTAAGTGCGTTTTTCTGCTGAGTTATTTTGTATTTTTCATTAATTTGTCTTTGTTATGTAGATTTAATGTTATTGTGTGATCTTGGAGCTCCCTCTGCAGTCTGCCTCAGTTCAACCACCAGAGGACGGCAAATAAAAACCTTTTCACATTCTCCACACAGTGTGATCAGGAGAAAGCTCAGTGGGCCAGCAGCACCAACCTTAAGGCAGAATCGGACCCACAGCCCGATCCCCAGGACGAGCATGTAAAGGCTCAGAGTAATCATCAGCACCGCGGGGAGAGGGATGGCGAGCCCCCAGATAGGCAGCACCTGAGGAGCACCGAACCACACAGACAGTATAAACATCAGTATATATTCTGAATGGTGTCCAGGTGAAAGGATCCTCACTCACTTGCATTGTCTCTTCCTGAGAGGACATCTTCAGCCGGCACCAGGCTCACATCTCTGGGAATTCAAACACATTATTACGTTTCCAGGAGCAACAGTGAGAACAACACTGAACAACAGCAGAAATGTACAAGAAGCTTGGTTGTTTTGAGTCACTGAGTAATGTTATATTGTTGTACTGATATTTTAACTCAAGAAAACGATCCAGGTTAAATACTATTTTCCAAAACTGCACATGAAGAACACAACATTGGGATTATTTGGACAGATATTGCGACACGATTAGTGTAGGAATGATTGCAACACACATTTAAATGTTGTCTTAAATCTGGAGAACAAAAATTAATTTAATTAAATCTGTGCAGCTCTATAATATTTAATTATAAAGCTGCTTTGTCACATATTTTAGCTTCATCAAATAACTGCAGCTTAATTATTGCAATTTCAATAATAAAAACATTAATGTTAAATATTATATATTATGTAGTAATGTAACACTGAAAATGTGCACATTTACTTCTGCTTTTGTTACTTTAAGTACATTTTCCTGTTAATACTTCTGTACAATTATGAATGCAGAACTTTTATATTGTTGTACTGGTACTTTTACTTCAGAAAACTATACAGGTTAAATATTATTTACAAAACTACAAGTACTAATCTTTAATAAACATTATATTTATTATATTTACCGGATACCAAAATAAAAGCTTGACATCCGGTTACAAAGAATACAAGTATATTATCCGTTAATAATCAGTATTTGTAGTGAGGAATAATCCCTCCCAGAGTTAAATCTTTATTAAACGTTAATAAAATAACAGTTTTGTACAAATAAAACAAAGAATAAAGGAGTTTATGATGTTTTTACGTTAGCTACCAACGCTAACTCCTTACCGTTCAGTTCGGTCCTGCACCGTAACGAGTTAATAACATTAATAATATAATAAATACAGACAGTATGTTTGAAATAAAGTCACATTCCCGCTGTTTTTTATCGTTAATTGTTATAAAAAGAGTCTGCAGCTGGAAACAAACGAGGAGCAGCTAACGTTAGCTCCGGCGGTAGCTACGTGGTTGCCATGGAGTCAGACGGGATCTCCGAAGGGACAAAAGAGACGGCACGGAAAGGCGAAGCGGAAAGTGAACGGCTGTACTGCGAGTTTGTTCAGGAGAATAAACTGTATAAATATAGGAAGAGTTGTGGAAAAGTGGATTTTATACATTTAAATATATTTTAAATCTAAATTAACTCATAATTTTTAATAATAATTTATTTAATAATGTATTTTTATTGCTTTTGTTTAGCTTAAATTGATGTTTTCATATTTTGTTTTAATTTTAGGTGTCTGAGTATCTAGAAAAGCACTTATAAATAAAATGTATTATTTAATAAAGTGCCATTATTTAAGATATTTAACTT